CGGCAAAGCCTTAGCCCCCCGCCATCGCCGCCAGTGAACTCGAACTGGGGCAACCATTCCTAAACCCTACAACTCAGAAGGAGACGACCATGAACTCGGACTGAGCTCCACCGCGAGCTCCAGTCCACCCAATCGGGCCACAGCTCGAAGCAGCGCCCTGGAACTGCCGCGCTCCCCTTCTACACGACCTTTCAATCTCGCTCCGAGGACCGGCGGCGATGGCGGCGGGGGTTGGAGAGCCCGAAGCGATGAGGATGGAACGGGAGGGTTCGCGGAGGAAGGAGAGGATGGGGATCGGGGATTCGCGTACTTGATGTAGGCGGCGATGATGCGCCGAAGGGACTTGATCTCGAGCGCCTCCTCGTGCTCGGTATACCGCCGCGCGGCCATGTTCCCCGGCGGCGGCGGCTAGGTGATGCTAATTTTCTTCAGATGGATTTTTCTTTAGGGGTTCAGATGGAATTGGTGGGTTTGAAATGAGGGGCAGGTTTTTCAAGGCCGTGGGCCTTGGGTCCATCCGACTTTACTGGATTATATTCTGACTTCCGAGGGTTTCACTTGGTGATAAATATTTGGGCATGACAGATGTGAGACAGTCCAAAAATGGCACTTTCAAATATCTAGATAAGGTATGGGAGAAAGTGATAGGCTAAATTATCAGCAGCAAGAAAAGAAATTCTAATAAAATCAATGGCACGGGCAATTCCGGTGTATTGGATGGCATGCTTCAGGCTACCCAGGGGATTTTGCGAGGGTGTGACATCAATTATATATCAGTTTTGGGTTGGGGAATAAAAGTGACAAACGGAAACCTTGTTGGGTTGCTTGGGATGTTATGGCATGGCCGAAGAATCTTGGTGGCTTGGGTTTTCGTGATTTAGAAATCTTCAATCTTGCTCTATTGTCTAGGCAAGCATGACGGATTTTTAATGAGCCAAACTCATCGAGCGCTCTAATTTTAAGAGCAACCTACTTCCCCTCTTGTACTGTTCTAGAAGTAGAACTGGGTCCTCACCCGTCGCAAGTTTGGCACAACGTGGCTGACGGTCTTGATTAACCAAGGCATTATTCGGAGAATTGGAGAAGGTACTTCAAGGCGAATATGGATCCCTCAACAAGGGATCATGAAAACATTTTCATCCCATGTTTCTAACCTGCCTCGAGTTGTGTTAGAGATCATAGACCGGAACAGGGAGGTATTTTTCCCGTCGATGTTGAAGCCATTTTACATATTCCTCTCTGTACACGTCAAGTTGATGACTTCTGGGCATGGAATGATGATCCAAAGGGGTGATTCTCAGTTCGTTCAGCATACGAAATGTTTGTTGAAGTTAATCTTGGGAGAGAAGCATGATTAGAGAAGAGGGAAGACGTTTCAAACCCAGCTGCGGAGTCCAAGGAATGGTTGTCTCTTTGGAAAACTTATGTGCCATCTAAGTTAAGAGTGTTCTCGTGGAGTCTTGCAAAACATTCACTTCCCACCGGTGATGTCCTCCAAGGATGGAATATGGCCACCACATGTGGGTTGCCCTCTTTGTAGAGCCTTGGATAGCTGGCATCACTCACTCAACGATTGTAGTATGGCAAGGAGCATCTGGGGCTGTCAAACAAAGAGATGGTGCAACATAGACCAATGAGACTGATGCTAAATTATGGCTTTTCGCCATGAGCGATTTGTTGCTACCGAATCAGTTTATATTGATGGTAGTGACTCTTTGGGTGATTTGGAGTGCGCGCCGAAAAGCTATACATGAGGATGTGTTTCATTCCTTTTGCCACGAGACCAATCCATTGCTTCATATCTGGAAGATATCAAATTTATGCAAGGTGCAAATGTGGGATCAAGGTCAACGACGTCGCCAAGGCCAACGTAGTGGCTACCGCCACCACTTGACCACGTTAAGCTCAATGTGGACGCGACAGTATCTAGAGATGGAAATTTTGGTGCAGTCAGTGCCATACGTCGCAATGAGTCAGGCATTTTTCAGGGGGCATCCGTGGTGGTCATGAGGAGACTATGCGATCCCCAGGTCCTTCAGACTTTGGTAGTCCGAGAAGCTTTGGCACTGGCGAAGATCTTTATGTTCCGAGAATTTTTTTTGCTTCAAATTGCAAGGTGGCGATGGATGCGATCAAGGAGGGAAGTGCTGCAAACTTTGGAGCTATAGTACATGAAATAACGGCTAGGGCTACTACACTTTCTACATTCCCTTTTAGCCACAAATTTAGAATCTCGAATGTTGAGTCATGTTTGGTTAGGCCAACCCGGTGATCTTATCTTCGTCCTTGTAAACATTGTGATGACGTAATAAAGTTTTATGGGATTTCTAAAAAAATCGAGGGTTTCAGAGGCATAATATAACTAGAAATTTTCTTGCGCCTCGCCGCTCACATTCATGGGACCTTTTTCTATTGGTGTTCTTTTTTTTAGGTGTTGTTGGTAACACGTGGAAGAGTGGAAGGTTGGCAGTGCAACAGACTCCTCCCTTTGGCAAGGTAGTGACACAGTAGCCCTCCCTCACACCCACATCAATAACAAAAATCAGCAGGCCAACGCCACTTCCTTTCACACACATTCCGACCATAGGGACAACTAACCACACCACCACCAACACCAATCATACCAACACTGACACATGAAACGCAAAAGGCCACACACGTGCTACACATATCTATGAATGGGCCCAACGATCATATACAACCATCCCATCCACTTTCGAGCTCAAAGCATTGCCACAATCTCAATGCACCACAAGGTTCCCTTTCTAGGGAGCTTAGTAGTTGTGGTGGTACGAGTTTTGAAGCAAATTTTCGGAATCTCATATGGCATGGGGGAGAAGGGTGAAGGAAGCCAGACCTCCAAATCACCATCCAAGCCCCAAAAACAATGCTACAATTATGGTGATCTAGGTCATTTTTCATTGCAGATTGCCCAAACAAGAAGAAGGGCATGAGAGAGGGCAAGGACAAGGAGAAGAAGAAGTGCAAGAAGAAGCCCTTCTTCAACAATGGGAAACCATACAAGAAGGACAAGCAAGCTAAGCCCTTTTGTTGGCCATGGATACACCCTCGACAAGTCCGATGATAAATAAGAAGATGAAGTAGTGGTTGCGGGCTAGCGATAATCTCTCCATCAAAGCTAGCCTGCCTCCTTCATCAAGTTCGACTACTCCGACCAAATCAAGAGTATTCCTAGATGCCTTATGGCTATGGAGTCAAAGGTAAGATGATACGGGGTAAGTCGTTGAGTGGTCCAATATTCACGAATTGGGGAAGGATTTGAGAAAGAACACGAGGGAAAAGTAGAGGAATTGCAAGGGGAACTAGCGCAAATTGACACACAAGTAGCAACACAAGATACACATGGATAGATCTTTTATCTCAATCATCCACAAGAGAGAGATGGGGGAAAGATAGGGTTCTTCTCCAAGTCCTAAGATGAAGAGGGAGGAATCTTCCCCACAAGTGGAGATCTTGATACTCCTCGAAATCTTCACCTCGCAAGGTGGTCTTCTTCTCCATGAGGAGCTATCACGAATGGAGGAATCCCACTTAGGGAGGTATATGTCTCTAATACTTTGATATCCCTAGACTAGGAGGAGAAGGGATATATATATAGGTCCACTCACAAAGGGGTAAGTAAGGGAAGGGAGAGATACTTGGTCAGTGGCCCAAAAGTTGCACGCGAGCACTGCCCCGGTTATACGGGGTTGTTTGGGTCGGTGTTGTTGGAATAGTCTGAGGCGCATAGTCAATAATCCAAGGATGAAGCAATCTCACGAGGCACGCCACCGAGATTTGTTAACGAGGTTCGCTGATATGGCTACATCATGGGGCCTGACAATGAGCACTCCTCCCCATGACACCATCACGATAACGCACACCGGCCACCCAGGTGCCGGCACATGCCACCGCCTCCCCCTGCGTGCATGTGCCATTATGTTGGCATAGGTACATCGTGTGTCAATCCTGCATCATATAAAAGGCCTAGGATACAGGAGTCCTACTAGTACACTACTCCATACCATGTCTATGATACGTCTCCAACGTATCTATAATTTATGAAGTATTTATGCCATATTTACAACAATTTTATATGGTTTTGATATGATTTGAATGGAACTAAGCCGAACCGACACTGTTTTCACTAGAACTAACATGGTGTTGTTTTTTGTACATAAATAAAAGTTCTCCAAATGCAACGAAACTTTTTAATGATTTTTTGGAACAAAAAGGCATTAGAAGCTTCGTGGGAGGACCGGAAGGTGAAAGGGGTGTCCACTACCCACCAGGGCACGCCCAGGGCCTTGGTCGTGGGCTGGTGCCTAGTGGGCCCACCTTAGCCCATCTTAGCGAGAGACCGACGTCAAAAAATCCTATAAATAGAGAAACCACCAGAAATAACCCTAGAACTTTGACTCTGCCGCCGCACGCCTCTGTACCTTTGAAATACCATCTGGAGCCCTGTTCCGGCACCCCGCCGGAGGAGGAAATCATCACCGGAGGCCATCTTCATCATTCCGGCGGCCACCATGATGAGGAGGGAGTAGTTCACTAATGGTAGCTGGAACTACGTCGGTATTTCCCCGGAGAGGGAGGGATGATGTAGCACAGCGACGGTAGAGTATTTCCCTCAGTTATGAAACGAAGGTATCGAACCAGTAAGAGAACCAAGCAACACAATGTAAACAACACCTGCACACAAATAATAACACCTCGCAACCCGACATGATAAAGGGGTTGTCAATCCCTTTCGGGTAACAGCGCCGGAAATTAGCAAGTTGATGAGAGAAAGGTTGTAATAGATTGGATAAATAGATCGCATATAAAATAAAGTGCAGCAAAGTATTTTTGTGTTTTTGGTTTAATAGATCTGAAAATAAAAGCAAGGAAAAAGTAGATCGCAAAGGCAAATATATGAGAAATAAGACCCGGGGCCCGTAGGTTTCACTAGTGGCTTCTCTCAAGAAAAATAGTAAATGGTGGGTGAACAAATTACTATTGGGCAATTGATAGAACTTCAAATAATTATGATGATATCCAAGCAATGATCATTACATAGGCATCACGTCCAAGATTAGTAGACCGACTCCTGCCTGCATCTACTACTATTACTCCACACATCAACCGCTATCCAGCATGCATCTAGTGTATTAAGTTCATGGAGAAACGGAGTAATGCAATAAGAACAATGACATGATGTAGACAAGATATGTTTATCTATATGGCGGTAGATATAGATCGCGTCTTTTTATCCTTAGTAGCAACGATACATACGTGTCGGTTCCCTTTCTATCACTGGGATCAAGCACCGTAAGATCGAACCCACTACCGGGCACCTCTTCCCATTGCAAGATAAATAGATCGAGTTGGCCAGACAAAACCCAAAT